CCCAGATGTTTATATCTGCATCATTGACAGTGTCTTCCCCGCAAAAAATTATTTCTATAAACGATTATCTTTGCCTTAACCCATTCAGATTCCGACCCTTTGATGACTGATAAGGTTTCGGTTTTCAATTAAAATAACAAGGAGTTTTTTATGTCAATGAGAAACAGATGTGCATTTTCGTGTTAAAAATTTGTAATTTCAGAAAAGTGCATTAGACAGAAAAGTTAAATTAAAAGTCTGAAACTTTGAAATTGTCGTGTAATGATTACATAAAAGCGAAAAGGTATTGGTTCATTCTCAGTTGGCCCTCATATGTGCACAAGGTTTTCGCCAGTATCTGAGCAAGAAAGACCCGATGTTTTGTAAATTCTCTTGAACACTTTTGCAGAAAGCTCTGATTTTTTCTGCGAATATCTGTCACAGTTTACAGCTAGTCTGTTGCAGGGCGGTCGGTGAAACTAAATGTGAAATACTTTTTTAACTTGTATTTCTTTAACGAAATTAATTATGAATCGACGTTCCTTTTCGTACAACAGTCTTTTTTTTGATTGAGGCACTTCAGATTAACAAATGAATAGTAAAGTAACCAAGGTTGGACACATTTAGGAATAGGGAAGCTCCTGTAATCCAGAATTAAAATATACTAAGAAATTGTCTCGATATGTTTGAAACATGTAAAATTTTTCAGCATGCACCGCTGCACCTCGCTGCTCAGAGTGGAAATATGGAAGTAATCAAATATTTGGAAGACGAAGGAATTCGCTTTGATGAGAAGGATAACGGCGGGGTATGGGTTTGTTCTTACCCACCTTACAGCTAGAAAACTATAGTATTTTTGAGTTACACAATTTTGCTCCTCTGCTGCTAAAAGATTTTTTAGTGAGAAACAATTCTTCGCGTTAAGTATTTTTTAAGCTCTCCGTCAGTAACGTGTAAAGTCTTACTTACTTGTAAAAGCTCTGAAACGTTCGTTAGCTAACTTTAAGAAGTAATTGTAGTTTGCTCTCAGAAATATGACACAACGACAAGTTCTCTTGTAACTTCTTTTTTAGAAGTAATCGTACAACAGTTTTCCAAAATTTATGTTTCTTTAATTTAGAAATTTTAACTGGCATAATTTGTGCTTTTTAAGCTGTTTTTAAATTAGGGTACTCCGCATCTAGTTACAGAGTAGTCGAGTCAGAAGATAATTGCTCGCGGAGGAACCGTTTTTAATTCAAGAACAGATCGCATAAATGAGAAGTACTATGCTGTGTTCGCTGTCTTTTTAGAATACGCTGCTGCACCTCGCTGCTCGTAACGGACAATTGAAAGTTTTGAAGTATTTTGAGGATAAAGGAATTGGACTCAACGAGAAGAATAATGATGGGGTAAGGCTTTGGTGGCAGCAACTTTACAGTTGGAAAGTTTCAGTAGACAAATATACGTTCCTCTCGTTGATAGAATCATCGCTGAGGAGAAGGCGCTTGTGTTGATAAACTTTCTGGTTTTTAAATATTAATGCTTTGAATGTCTGTGATACTTTTATCTTTTAGAGGTGTTTTAAATGGTCGTTTTGTCGGTGCTATTCAGAAGTAGTTATGTGTAATAATACTAAAAATTTTTTGAAATTAAAAAAATCGCAACGGGTTTAAAGTGAGAGGTTAAAGATATAAATTATTACAATGGTAGCCTGACGACTATAGAGTGAAAAATCTTGTAGTTTGGGCACATTTGGCCTGTATTTAGAACGAGGTAAAATTGCTTTTGCAGCAGAGCGATTAGTCGTTTCTAGAAAAAGGTAGGTATTGTTAAGATATTCTAGCTTGTGCAATAAAAAATCTCTTTTTTCTGAAAAGAATAAGCGATTGTTGTTTTCTAATCTTTTTTCAAGTTGTAAATTTAAAACATTTTCTCAGGTTTTCTGTCATTCAGGCTTGGCAGAGTTAAGAGTGATTCAGTGTAGCTTTTGATTTTGTAACTGACTCGTACCTATAGGATAATGGCGATGTGGGAATCTGCTGCTGAAATATATTAGCCGACGAACGCTTTTCCAGATTTGCAGAAAAAAAGCGAACAACAAGAACTTTATGGCATAGTGTAAGGTTAAATGACTGTTAACTTAATTGTTTTTTCCAGAATACACCGTTGGACGTGGTTGTACCAAAAAGAGTTTTGGAGGTTTTGAAGTATTTAGAAGAGAAAGTAATCAATCTTAATGAAAGAAATGATAACAAAGTGAGTGTTTTTTGTTATTGATAATGAAGATGAAGTAGTGGGAAGAATTGAGCCAGAAAAATGTATTTGTCTGCGCTCACAATATTAGAGAGAATTAACTGCTCCGAAACACTCTGCGAGTTCTTAGCTCTTAATGCTCCTAGTATTGTTCACTAGAGAGAAGAAATTTGCAGTTTTTAAGAAGATTAAACAG